TTTTATTCTGAGTGAGATATTTTATCGAATGTCATGCCATTGTATCGTCTTACTGGTGCGTGCTTTTCCAATCAAATTTATTTGATTATGGTACAATACTCTTATGGTACAATCATAGTAAATTTAGAAATTTCTTTTAAGTCTAAAAAAGTGAGTCTCACAAATCAGTCTTTTTCTCTCAAACATAAGATAGTCATGCAATATTGATCGGTTATTTCATAGAATTGGTATACTTAATAGAAAGCCGAGAAATGATATTTGGAATTTAAGAGAAAGTACTGCAGACTTTAGAAAAATAAAACGTCAAAGTATATATAGTTCTACGATCGTGCTTTCAAAGTATCTTTTTCTTTAGTATCATTTTGGTGCTGATTTTATAATATATAACTTATTTATATATGATCGTTTTTTAGCAATTAATATACCTACAATCAACCGCAAGATCAACGTCACGCCGCGAAAGTTTTTACAAAACGAATACAGAGTACGCAGAAAGATTTTGTTAAAATACCTAAAAATATAGCTAATAAAATATAAATTTGAGAGAAAACAATTTTGTTTTATAATCAAATAGTTGGAATCTGAATATGATTAACTGTAAATAATTTTGACATTTCAACAGTTCGAAAATTACGAGTAGGTATATAATTATTTTGATGTGCAATAAAATTATTATCAGATCTATAATTAATTTAATTTGTAAATACACAATAAAACGGTTCTTTCTATATATATAGTCTCTTCGTATACATTCTTCAAATAAAGTACTATTCAAAGTACTGTTCGAAAGATAATTTCATTATCTTTCGAGAAGAGATTTTATTCTCGGTATTTAAACACTTTTTATGTCAAATCATTAATAATTATGTACATGTTAATATAAATAGTTATTCAACTGCAACATATACGAGAAGAATACAAAGATGTCGTTTTGAGGACAGAGAGTAATAAAAAGTGATTTTAATTCGAGACCGTTTAAGTAGATTCCATAAAATTCAAATCTTATGGACACGCGAAGCACCTCACGGCTCGGTTTTTTTCCCTTGCCAAATAACTTGCGTAATAGTACTGCGACGTCGCATAAATTCCACGCTGAGGCGACGATCGGGACGGCGAAGTGGCACAGTTTCTAACGACTCTTCGCGAAGGTTCTAACAAAAAGTAACGTTTTAACAACGGATTCTCGGTGAGGATAACTGTACTCCCGATAGAATAACTCAACAATGCAACGGTCACGAATTTTTTCACCGCGCCGCTATGGTTCTCTCTCGCCGCATTCCTTCTCACTCGACCAGAGCTTCAAAGAACTCTTGGCCACACCTAAATGAACGCAACAGAATATCCTCACTGTCCCTATTTTTTTTAATAAAATATTTTTTCAGAGATTCACACACGTCTCTGCACCTCTGTGTCTTCGCACGATCTTTGAATAATTCAAAAGCGACAAATTTCTTTTGTTTCAAGGTTTTATTTCAATGATGAGAGACGCGTAACTCGAAACAGAGTATCGATCATGTAACTTAATTTTCCCTAAGGTGGAAACGTGAAAATTTTTTGTATGTACATACATGTATGGTACATACCTACATAAGAATTTTCGCTTGTCATGTTTTCGTTCTAAAGAAAAAGTTACATGATCGATACCCAGGGAATACGAAACAGTACGCGACTATCTATTTTACGGTGGCAGACTCGACATAAGAATGAAATACTAGGATCCAACCTCTGGAAAATTCTTTTATTTCAAGTTATTTCAACGTCGCATACATGGCGCAATGATAATAATCTGATTTTTTTACACGTTCCGTGTATCTTTGAAAACCTCGGAGTAACGTGAAAGTGCAAAGGGAGGCTTTCGAGACGACCGTATATGGACCGCTCCGAACTTTGATACATTAATAAACAGCTCCTCCGCCTATCAGCGGACTTCTTTTACTCTTCCTTGAGCACGTTTAACATGCACGGATTACCTTCCCGTTTCTTTGCCTTTTCTCCTCTGCGGGCCTAATGTCAATAACCGTTGCATTAGTTGACGCTTCGTTACTTTCTTTGCGACGGGCGAGCGAGCGGGCGATTAAAAATGGTCGGGGTGTCATCCGCGATGGCACACGATCGTCGCGACGCCGCCGACGTCGAATCGCGTCGGTGTTGGTGGCCGGCGTTCGTCGCACCTGTTTTCACGTGGCGTCGTCGTAGCATCACGCTCGGTGATTTGCTCGCCGGAGCAAAAGATGTTGCCAGTGGCTGCACCGTCGCCTGCATCCTCTTTGTACACTTTGTTCACACCGTGAAGGCAAGTCGTAAGGCATCACCTCGTCCCAGGGCACAGACGGGGAGACCCGGTAAATCCACGTATATATCTACATCCACGTACAGCGTCGTCGCTCTCTCTTTCTGCACGTTAGAGCGTCGCCGAAGCGGAGACTGACGTACACGTGGATGAAAAAAGATCTATACGAAAACCGTTCCGAAAACCGTCGTATTATCTCTCAGCTATATGTATATTCTTTGATCAGTCTGGGATCAATTTTCCTATCCTCTTTGAAAGTCAAGAAATTGAATGAGAAGAACGAATTTTAAATTTGTTTTAAATCCGTTGAAAGATCCGTTCGTCTCACTCATCGAGAACGTGGGACAGTTCGGAGAATATCAGACGGCGCTTTACAACGCGCAGCTTCTTTTTACGATGCACCGTTTTATCTCTTGCGCTGCGAGACGCCTTGGAGAGAAGTGGTAGAATGGTGCAAGATTGAGAGAAACGTGGCAGTTGCAACATTCGTGATCAGGCCCCACGTGCAGCTGATGATGCAACATGCGTGCATTTTGTAACTCCATAGCCAGAAGGCCTTCTTGACCGGCATATTGAACTAGATAAAGTCGGATCGGATCGAGAGCGTTGGATAATTATGATATCGTCCAATTAAATGTCTTGTCGACCACACAAATATCGTACATATATTTTAAATCGTGAAATTTAATTTTTCGAAATGATCGTAGCAAGGAAATTTATCATCAGCATTTGCGCTGTATAATTTAGATGAATCAAAATACACGTGATATAAATGCGCGCTCACGCGAGGTTCAACAAACTTGCAAGGTTTTACTCAGTTCGTGCTCGTTCCCTTGCTAGCATCCTTGATTTCATGTGTCAATAGACTTATGCCTAAATTTTTAATAGAATCGTAAGGCTCGTAACACTTATTCTCATAACACTTATAACAGCTTTTAAGTGTTTATACCTTTATGCAATCTTTCCAGATAGCTTCTTATTATAGTTATAAGAATTACACAAGAAATCCTAGATATTTACTAACAATGCGCATAAAATTAGAATACCAGTTATAAGTTCTTACAAGTTTTGCGAGAACAAGTTACAAATCTTATCATTCTGCTTGACCCTTTAGTTGCATTGTTATTTCTTATCAGCGAAGGTTTTGCGATCTAATTAGAGATGAAAATGGCCAAATTTTATGATAATTTAAAAAAATTATGAAATTAAAATAATTTGATATACCTAAGAGTATTTAATCATTAAATTAAAAAGTTTAAAAGCACTTTATTTAATTTAAATTTGTATTTTGATACTACATATTGATATAATAATAATTATGAAACTATATAGGTACGTAGCAACTAGGGAAATTTCATATAAATTTTTTATTAAAATTTTGAAAGCAAACGTGTGACAGGTATATAGTAGTCTTAAACTACATTTTTCATACCTTATAAACTTATAGATAACAATTTTATTTGCTTGCTATTTTAGCGACTATCAAGGACAGTTTTTATTAGAGCAATAACAAAAATATAATTATATATTAAACAAAAATATATTATAATATACATATATGAAAAATAAAATAAACTCCTTGTAATTATACTATTGCCAGAAATGCCAGAATACTTGATAAAAATATAGAATAATCTTAAGCCGATTCCTATTAGGAATACTGAATGATTATATAATTTTTAATTTAATTATACATAAGTATGAAAATATAGTTTATTTATACATAAAACTATAAGAAACAACAAATTTTACCAAAATTACCAATAAATTACCATATTACCGTATTTTTACCGTAAGTAATTGTAAAATTAAATTTAACAGTAATTTTGCATCTTTAGATCTAACAGTACTGCCTGTCAACATATGATCAAAATGTTTCACGAATTTATTCTACTATTCTCTAAAATTTTCAGAATAAATCTCATTCTTAAAAACTAAATCTCATTCTTATAAAATTGAGCTACTCTTTTTTTTTGAGACCGACTCAAGTTTTACTCTTTAGTAAGATTTTATTCTAAAGAATTTAGAGAATAGAGCAGGAATTGGATAAAATATTTTTGCGCAAGGTTAAGGGGATTCTAAAGTCGTCTGTATTACCGATTCCATATAATTTTTGTATCGTAAATACCTTTTTGTCATTCACAGATTCGAAAATCCTTTTACAAGATTAAAGTATACACATTAATACGTGCCTGTGAGATAGAATCTATGCTGAAAACGATACAAAATTTCAAAATTGAGTTCTTTACCATTTTTTAGTCCAATATGGCGCTCCAGAGCTGTCACGTCGTTGCACCTCGTAACAACATTTGTTTCATATAAAAGCTGCGCAATCTGTACTTAAGAAATAGTAGTCCACAGTCACATAGTTTGCATGAACAAACAGCGTCGAGTGCTTAGAACTAGACTTAGATACTTTATCGCGACGAATTTACGATACGAAAATTGACAGGTAATGCGACTGCGTGCATCACTGTCTGCATGAGATATTAGTGGTATATAAAAGATATATCGATGTGTTGTAAAACATCTGGCGATTTCGTTAGAGTTCGAGCTTTGCTTTAGAATCCCCTTAAGCTGCGCAAAAATTTCATTTCCTCAACACGTCAGTTAAATCGAATCTTCACCGAATTAAAGATTCAATGTACGTGTGCCGTAAGTACAGACGATGTCTCGTAATTTAAAAACAATGAATGGCCGCACTCACCGCCGTCGACAGTAGAGACAGTGCTGGCCTTGTTGATCTTCGTGTTCCACATAGCGATCGTGGGAGGCGCGGCGGGACTCTGATCGGGAGTCGGCGGATGAACCGTCGGCATCGGCACCATCGTCGGACCCAGCTGTGCTCCAGGGAGATGGTCCGAGTTCGATCTGTACAAGCCCGCGTCAAACCCCCGTCCGGGATAAGCCTCGTCATCCCGCTTGGACAATCTCTCCGCCAATTTCTCCGATCTCTCTCGATCGATCTCCACTGGCTCCTGTTTTATTCGAAGATCTGCGAACACGAGATCAAGAGCTCGACAGGTTGCAGGACAGGTCGATGGGATCTTTAGGTTGATTTTACATCAATTTTATGTAATTTTAGTAGATCTATCTCACCTTCGGCAACGCTTTCCTTGAGATCACAGTTGCTACGTTCCTCGGACCGCGCTCGTTCCAGCTGCTGTTCTAGTTCCGTGGGCGTGTGTGGCGCGGTGTGGGAATGCGAATGAGTTTCAGGGAGATGGGTGAATGATTGATAGAAGTGATTTTCCAACAGTGGATGCGGGGCGGACGCCGGTCGGAAAGCAGGGCCGTCGCGTAACACGCTCGCTCTTCCTAACGTATCGACGTCGCTCGGCGATCTAAAAATACGCGATTGCAGCTTAAATAATCTTACGCGAGTGAAAAACACGGAACACTGTGCGAATATTTGGTAACGCGTAATACAACAAAGAGGAAACCCGGAGAAAATCAGATCCGGAACGTGACGTAATGCGAAGTGGGGCAAATGAAGAAATATCCAAAACTTCACACGACAAAATTCCTTGAAAAATTAATTACACGCTCTTGATTAACGCAACATCCATGCAACATAATCGACAAAAAACTATTTCGATAGTAAAAGTATAATAAATTCCAATAAGCTGAGATAGAGATTCGAAAAAACCGTAAAAGAGTCGCTTTGCCACGGCTATTTCCTTATCGGAAATATGATAATTTAGATACTGCTTTGTCGTTGGTGGATTGTCACATACGTCATCGCCATTAGAACGAAGGAAGGCCGCTCGTGGCTAGTTCCTCATAAAAGAGCTTCGCACCTTGGCGAAAGGTCCTTACCTCATCAGCCTCTTCGGCGGACTCTCGCAATAATGCGAGGTGTGATACATATTGGGCACGAATTCCGAGGCGGGCGACGGTGTAGGAGTCCTCTTTATGTTTCTGACCGTCTCGCTCATGTCGTTCGTATCACCGGCGCCGCTACCACCACCCCCGTTGCCAATGGTACCACCGTTGCTACCACTGCCGACGCTACCGCTGCCGACACTACCCCCGATGCTACCGCTACCACCACTTCCGTTACCGCCGCCACCGCGGAGAGCAGTAACATCTCCGGCATTGCTCTCTGCGTCCGCGGAGGTGTTGCTGCCCTCCGCAGCGTGCCTCTGCGCCACCGCTAGCTTCTCATGCTCGATGATCGATAGACCTTTAACCTGGAAAAGAAAATAATTATGGATGAATAAATATATTTGATCAACGAATTTAGGAAAATATCACACGGAAGGGAATAAGAAATACTATATAACGATACAAAAATGTTACGATGTACTGAAAGAATTATAATATTATGATGGTAAAATAATTTTTTGGAAAAAGATCACAAAAGCATTTATTGTATTTCAAGATTCGCGTAAGTATTAATTATGAATTTCCACATAACTGATGTCCATGTGCACGGTAGAAAACATTGTGTTCGAAATAGTCCACTCACATTCTTCTTAACCGATTGTGTTGAATTATTTAATACATTCGAGTATTAACTTAACATAATGTGATTATGTTATTTAAATATTGCATTTTATGTTAAATTGATATAAATTAATATTCAAGGTTTCTTAGTGTCAAAATGACACAATTTATGAGTAAATGAATAAGTAATGTAAAAATAACGTGTTTCTCACAAAATGTAAATTTTAAGATGTGTGTGTGTGTTAATTTAATAATTTAACATACCATAAATATTAATTATACTAAAAAAATATATTTCCACAGTTTGTTTACAAACTGTGTCAGCATTATTTTTTGTGATCATTTTTTTATACAATATCTGCATCATTATACCCAATATATTCATGTTATGTTAAATGAGCACAAAATTGTGAGTGGACATATAGTCTTTAGCCAGAATGCTTCTCAAAGTCGTGTCGGGTGCCGCGCCACGTGTACAATTATTCGAGGAACATTATTTAGGGTCATTATATACGGAAAAAGAAACAGGCACATACTTGAAGGCATTCAGCTGCCTTGAGGAAGGAACTGAGGGATTCCTGGGACACATGTACCTCTCCACGGTACATGAATTCGAGGAGGGACGCCATATTGTGGGCACTCGTCCCATCGAGAATAACGATCAATCCCGCGGGAGAAGGCGGCATTCCTTCGAAAAGCTCCTGAAAATGCTTGCTGCATGCTGCGAGGATTAACCTGTGCGCCTTGAACGTAACTCCTGAAACACAAATAGGATGCATTGACTTCAAAATATAAACGATCTAGAGAAGTACATACTGTGTCATCAAAAGAGAACATTTGACGACCATCGCTAGTCCATTTTTACATAATTAAAACTAAATTAATCCTCTTCCGCAACATAAGATCTTTAAAGGCATCATCAATTATATTTTAATTGCGAATTTTGAAAATTTAAATCCATAAAAAACTAAGTAAAAGATACAATCCGATACTATATAACATATAATAAAAACTTATTATTAAAGCTTTGACAATAGAATTTTTATCAGAGAGAATTTATGTCAGTTTTTACATAATCTGGAATATATAAATATTTGTTTTTTAAAGATCCCTATTGCTGATGGTAGAGTGACTTGCCGGCAGAAAGTTAAAAGTATATCGCAGAAAAAAGTTACTCACATATTAGCCTCGCGCTTCTACATGCCGTAATGACGCGAATCGATCGGCGTCGTGAAATTAGCACATAAAAATTTCTGATGCACGCACAAGACGCTCAGGCCCTTTCTTTCTCACGGCTTACAATGTAAACGGGCACCATCACGCGCAGCAGACGAGCGCGGGAATTTCAGCATGCAAAGAAAGCCGGTGACCGACGAACCCTTTTTTTTTTTTTTTGAAGCGGCCCACCACTTCCCTCTCTACAACGCGACATAAAGGAACCGAGGCTAGCACGCCTGACGTCGATGCCCTTTCTCGCAGCCCGCTGCGTATGTAGGTCATCTTCGGACACGATCTTCCGTAATTCGTAATTCACGCAAGTATAATGCGCGTTCGCCAGCGCGCGGGCGTGTAATATGACACGAGCGACCGCTGCACGTAAAGCGAAGAACGGTGTCCAGGAACGGCTGCGTGTGAAAAGAAAAAAAAGAAACCGTGACCGTAACCGACCGTCGAAGCCTCTGTGCGATGTAGCTAAACATCCGGACAAATTTCTGTAAAAGAAACCCTCAAATTTGTCCCATAAATGTTTATATAAGGCTTAATTTAAATACCATTTATTTTATTGATTTATTCAAAAGTCCTTAAGACCGATTTAATTAACCAAAATTAACTGCACACGAGAATGTATACGTATTTTCGTTATCGGTGTAGTTATCGCGCTTCATTATTTTGTAATGGTTTCGTGCGAATCAGGTGAACGGAACGTTTCATGAAAGAGCTTCGTGCGTTTAGACGGATGTGGGAAGAAGCCTCATCACTCGGCAATGCTTTTCGAATAAGGAAATCAAGTGCGAGAAGAGAAAGGAGGAAAGGTGACGAGGGCACGACCAGGTGGCTCAAAGCACCTGTCCTTCCGAGTGGCTCCCGGTACACAAAGTGTATCCAACTCTTTGAGCTTCCTCTCAGCGCGAGATCATATTTCCTTGTACTCCCCGTTGCGCTCAATTTCAAACCTCTTATCCGACGAATATTGGATTCGCTGTACCCGGGGGAGAGGATTCAACGACTCTGTAATACCGCGTTCACCCGCGGTGCTGGTTGGAATACGTTTGCATCATGAACTTGACTCGCGTATAATAATGACAGCGTCTCTTTATCTAACAAATATCGAATATATCTTCGATATCGAATTTCAGACGAGTACAATTTCCTTGCTCTATCGCCTTATCATTTTAATCGCTACATATTTATTAATAACCTCCCTGCTTTTATAACCTGTCCAATATAAGATAGGCGTGTTACAGGTGTTCGGGCCAAATATACAGCTCATTATGCGCGATGCAAGGGCTAATCGTCGTGTTATATCCGTGTGTGTGTGGACGTTTTGCGATTATCTTTCTTCGTCGCTTATGACGACGTATTCGTAAGTGAAGTTTGAACACACAAATGCAATATCTGGGCATATCGTCGTGCAATGAGAACAAAAGAATCAGATATTCTCACATAATTTATCGTTATTTGGATTAAAAATTTTGAGTTTCATAAAATATTATATCACAGACTGCGCATTTTCCTTGACCTTAGCATCTGTTAGAGAAAGAATTGATTTATATCATCTGATACAATCAATCTCAATACTCTTCAAAATTTTAGCTACTTTACACTTAAAGAAAAAAAAATTAAATTTTAATTAATATTTATTCAAATAATTCTCAGTAAATATTTACTAAATGTAAATATATAATTTAATACAAAAACCATTAATTTAACTATTATTTTTTATTATAAATAAGTTATGTGTAAGTAAATGTTTACTTATTGTTAGTATTATTAAAAAAAATATCTATTAAGGTTTAGTAAATTTTGTTTAGTGTATAAAGAGAGGAAGCGATTTAAACTACCTTATTCTTTCTAAAACGATAGTAACAATTCCGTAGGAGTCTATTCTCATTTCGTTCGTGAAAATAATCGCAGGAGCCGCTTGTAATGTGGAGGCAGTCGGAGCACTCCTCGTATGCAAACTGCACGTTCGGAGACGTATACAACAGCCAGATACGGCAACGCGCAATTCGTCGGCACACTTGTGGAAATAATGAAATATGCAGAGTGTTCACTCAGCGTATAATCCCGAGACTATTAATTAATTCTATAATGCGGTGCGCCGCGCCGCGCAACAGCGGGTCCGCGGGAGACTTCTCACGCACATGCGTTGTTATTCCCGTTATCGGACCGCATGCAGAAATGTACGCGCGATATGTTGCAAAGAATTTCGGCGGAGCATTGCGTAACGCGTGCGAGCGCGCGCGCGAAGCCTCGAGGACGTATTTATGACACGCCGCAACATCGTCATCGACTCATCGAGCGAGCGAGCTATTACTGAATGAGCGAGTAGAGATAACGCACGAGCACTCTCAGCGCGGCTCCGCGCGTATCTATTTAGATATTGTTCATATAGCCAGGGATTACGCTTGGGGAGCGAACAACACACTGTCACAGCGAAGGTTGTCGATTATGGATGAGTGATAACGACTTAACGACGACGCAACGTGTGAAAAAAGCCGTTGAAAATATTTTTTACACTGAGAAAAAATTTACTAAATTTTAATAAATATATTTGTTTGAATAGCTATAGATTTAACTGTAAATATATACATATTTTTATTTGGTATGAGAACTAATTAACTTGATTTAACTAGCATTCCTTTATTTATTAAATATTTATTTACCGTAAACAAATGTTAAGTTAGTATTATTTAAATAAACATTAAAATTTAGTATATTTTTTTTTCTCTTAGTGATATATAAGACAGTTATTCAAAATTACGATATATTATACTATATAATTATCAAACTTATCCGTAGAGTATTAGATCCTGCTAAAGGTTGGCTAATGTTCGACGTGCAATTCTAGAAAATGTATTTAATAATTCACACAGAAACATTATTAGACATCAGCCTTGACCGTATTTGACGCGCCTCTATTTATTTGAATTAAACAACTGTGCGTTATCAAAATCCACTACTGTTTTATTACCACCTGTATACATAATAATATTTATATACTGCTTGCGTACGTTAGTTGAGAAAGACTAGTTAGATGCAAATGTATAGTGATTTCAATGAGATTACGTGAGGGTTTAGTAAGAAGAAGTGAGGAGATTATGCCAGCGGCGTGACTATCGTCACAAAACTTGCAAATAAAACTCGCGTAGTTACGCAACAGTGCAATGCACTCTTCGCGGGCAATCTATTCATATTCCAAGGCCAGCCGGTAGAGCTCTTTGGGAGTTAGGGTTTTCGACGAAGCCTCTTACGACGGTCATCGTTCCCCTACTACGCAACAATAATTTGGAGCCTCGTGTACGTGTGCACCGTGATCGAATGCGTACAATACACACCGTGGGTGAAGGCGGCAATTGCGGCTTAACTCAATGTCAATGCTTGACGATGTCAGCGACCGCGACGTCGTAAAAGTTACCGCAATAGTAATAATCAAAGGACAACTTCAGAAAAGTGAATTTGATACTGTAGGAAGGGGGAATTCTCCCAATCTTGGGTCAAACTTCGATAACAAATAATAAATGTCACCGAAGAGAGATCTCTAATCTTGGATAAAAGAAAAAAATACGGATCCCCTTGGCGTGATTTTTTTGTATCATCCTGAAAAATGTAAGACTATTCCGCGCAACAATAAGTCCTCGACAAGTGTTTTCGATTAAAAACAATTGGATTGGAAAATTACGAGCTGCGTGTGATTGCCTCGCGATTGTCACGGGGTATCCGAGTTTCACGAGTAGATAAGAGCGGTTGCCGATTTGATTAAAGAAGAGACAAAACTCTAATATGGAGGAAGGCGGCCAAGGGAAGGGAACAGCAGTCAATGCCCCGTCAAGGTCGACAATGCAGAGTGTGCTAGCGAGCAAACGTGTGTGTTTGCCATATCGTATCAGCTCGGCTTGACTCGTTTTAGCTTCGCCCGTACGAAAAGTTGACAGGCCAATAGTGATTCGAGCTTCCTCTAGGCCCGGCCAATGGCCGCGTGGGACCAAGGCCATCTTCTTCACACATACCCAAAGTTCGATGCACAGCATGGCGAAAAACGGTGCCGAGAGAAAAAAGAAAAAAAAAAGATACGATAGACTGCTCGAGGGATCCGTGAGGGAGAGAGAAGGCAGCAGCACACACGCATCGCGATACAGAGAGAAGAAACGACACGTGGAGAGGCGACCGTGAATCTCGAGGTTGCCCCCGCGATAATCGGCGAGTATTACGCACGTTTTGTCGATGTGTATGATCACATGCGACACATACGCTCGCGTCGAGCGTAGGAAGAGACGTGGAAAATGACGGACGCGCGCCTCTTTGTCCGTGAATGTTAAAATCACGCATACGGTTTCTCTCGGAGCTTTTGCCCATTGCGTCGTATATGCGCGTAATTTTTCTCCTACGAAAATTCACTCGAGCATCATCCGATTTCGTGGGAATCGTTACCGCTAAAAGAGCGGATGAGAATTAACGCATCCTAAATTCAGCACACCAACGATTCCTTCGAAGAATAGAACCGTGGCTTTCAATTTAAATATGATAATGAAACAT